AGCAACACATATGTTTTCTTTGTAAGGCCATCACAGCTTTCTTGCACTTGGGGACACTAGACAGTACTGTAGCACTAAGCTTGGGGGGGGGGGCTTGTAAACAGCAAAATCATCAACAGAAAGTATAAAAATTCAAAAAACATGCCACTGCTTACACTATGAAATGGACACTTGTTGGAGTATGATAGCTGAAACAAAGACAGAATGTGGCCCTGTTTGACCTCAGCTAGAAAGTGCAGATTAGGTGACTCAGACATTTTGCTCTCTGTACATTTCCACATGTGACCACAGAAGCGCCACAAGTGTTGATTTTAAGTATACAAAATAAACTTTAGCAAGTACATATGCAAATGTAGATTCTATGAATGATGAGGACTGACTATAGGTCTTACTGTCTTTTTTTAATATCTATTTTTTAGTTGTAGGTGGACATATTATCTTTATTTATTATTATTTTTTAATGTGGTGTTAAGAATCAAACCCAGTGCCTCATGCTTGCTAGGCGAGCGCTCTACCCCTGAGCCAGAACCCCACCCCTTATTATCTTTTTTTAAACTCCTTGTCTGATAGGATCTTAGACCACAAGCATTGGAAGGAATATTTAAAATCAGCTAATCAACCCCTTTACCTCACACAGAAGAAAAATGGGTGCTATAAACTTCAACATTGTAATATTAACACCTTCTGGTTCAATTAAGCATGCACAGCATTGTCTCAATTAGTGGAATAGATTACCTTCTTTTTGTGGTTAAATTTTATTTCCAGCCTAAATGCTGTGCCATGGTTTGATAATCAAAAGTAATTTCATCAGGAGCTGGGGTTGTGGCTCAATGGTAAAGCACTTGCCTAGCACGTGTGAGGCCCTTGGTTCAATTCTCAGCACCACATCAAAACAAACAAATAAAATAAAGGTACATCAACAACTAAAAAACTATTTTTTAAAGAAAAGTAATTTCATCAAAGGAAATTCTAAATGTGAACTAATAGAGTTGAGAAAGTCCACCAAGAAACAAAAGAGTCCCTACTTCAGACCATCCTGTGGAGAACATCCTAGAACACAGATCCAGGAAGTGACTCAGGGCCTCTTGTGATGCCCATGCAGATGGCTCTTTGCCCTCCAACAGACCAAATCACTTTCTAATAGTTTAATTTCATGTATCTGCTCCAGTAACCCCTTTCCACCCACTTGGAAGTTCTGTGAAAGGTCTTCCTGGTTAACCTTCTGCTCTGATGAGCCTGAGCTGTTCAGCTAACTTTTCATCCCTAGCCAGATGTCAAATACACAGAGGGCAGTTGCCTTCTGATTCTGGGTTTCCCACGTGATCTCAGCGTTATCTAATGAAGAACTAGGCCCAGCTCAGCTCTTGCCTCCAGACCTGAAGTTGAAAGGTCAGCATTGCCCCAGAAATGCAAGGATGCTAGTCTGCCCAAGAAACTGAGCTGGAGTGAGGTCTACAAGGGGAGAATGAGAAATACTTACCATAATGGCTTCCTAGCAACTCTTCCCAGTGGAGTTGGAAGCTCCCAGAAATGGGAAGTTTCTACCCGTGACCCGCCTTCCTCTGTTCTTTTCTACTACTTAAAAATATTTATCTTTCACTTTGAAGGTGACTCTGATGCCATAAGCTTTTCAGAATTTGATGTCAGTGAATCGGGAATCATTCTACATCTTTACGCACTGGAGAGAACTATAAGGAAGCCACCATATTTGTGGCCTGGATGGAGATACTAAACTGTTGTTAGGATGGTGACTATTGGTAGCCTTCTATCTCCTCAGGAGAAGCGAGCAGTTCCAGAGAGCTTAGGGTGAATGGAGAACATCTGGAATATGAGCATAATTGATTCTGAAGTGCAGCTCAACAGGAAGTGGCATTTCTCTGTCATTAGATTTAATTTCCAAGTCTTCAGTCTCCCTGGCTTAAACATTGTTCAGTCTGTAGACTGGTTCTGTGAGATCCTTTAACTCCTTGGGTTCCTCTAGGGTCCTAAGAAAGTGGCTTTATGTACAGACAGCTATTTCAGAATTTAATAGCAGAAGAACATTTTCAGTTATCCAGGGACCTTTAAGATCTTTCTAAATCAATTTTCATCATTAAATTACAATTTAGTTGTATTTGTATGACAAAGATAATCCCTGCAATTGTTTAACCTAAAAAAATAAATTTCTTCATAGCTGACTTGCATTTTTATGTATTATCTTCCAAAATAGTTATAGGATAGAGAGTGATTTCTTTTTCTTTTCTTGCCCCCGCCCTCAACCAACCCCCAGTACTAGGGATTGAACCCAGGACCTTGTGCATGCTAGGCTAGTGCTCTACCACAGGGCTGCATCCTCTGACCATTTATCTGTTTGTCTGTTTGTTTTATAGACAGTCTTGCTAAGTTGTGGGGGTTGGCCTCAAACTTGTGATCCTCTTGTCTCAACCTTCTGAGTAGCTAGGATTGTAGGCATGCATCACTTTTTCCCCCTATTTTTTTTTTCATTGGAAAAAAGTGTTTTGCTTTCTGTTTTGGAGTTAAGGGATGGGGTTTTGTGTTTGGTTTCAGTACTTCTCCTTGGAGTTTCTGTCTGACATACATAGTAATTTCAATGTAGATTATCATGAACCATTTCAAAGTTTTCTTTTCTTTTAAGAAAATTAAAAAGCCCCCTGACTTGGGATGTGAGACTGTTTTTTTCCATAGCAACTGCAGAAATAAAGTACATAGGCGGGTAACAACTTGCTGTCCTTGCAGTCAGTGACTCCTAGCTCCCAGCTCTCCCCTAGAACTTGCAGAAATGAGGAGTCCTGGTGGCCTATAACTGAGTGATTTCATAGTTAAGAGATTTCACATAAAAACTAATTGTTACAGTTAGCCTTGTTCCCCTAGTGGGCAGGCTAGCCCCCAGGGGAGGATAATGCCTTTACTTTGAAAACCAAACCAAGGGAGCCCTTTAACTTCTAAAGGAACTGAGGCTGCCTACCCTCAGCCAGCCACCCTGGGACAGCAGCAAAGGGGCTCCCTGTGGATTAGACCCAGGCCTGCCTTTCTCATCCACCAGCTGGAGTCCTTAGTTAAGTCAGATGTAGGAGACTTGCTCCTCTCATTAGGATAATTTGTTTTTGTTTTGTTTTGTTTTGTTTTTTCCCTAAAAAAGGGTGTTATTTTCTCTGCGATGGGAGTATGGCAGCCTGGAACTTGGATTCAGGAACATGGCAGTGGTGCATATGAAGGGTGGAATTTGACCTTCTTTTATTTTACACCGTTCTTGTTCTCTCTTAAGTCCTGTGTCTTATCTATAGGGTTAAGGTTTCCTCTCTGGGATTCTAGGTCTATTTCTGGAGTACAGTGGTTCCCCCCCCTACCAATTAGCAAAAAGCTAGGGATGGGGACAAGTGTTTTAAACTTGTCTGTGGCTTTTGTTTCTCACTTTGCTCTAGCTATTCAGCCCTGGTAAAAGTGTTAGAAGTTTGAAAGTAGATCTCGGGGGCCTTGACTGGGAGCCACATTTCAAAGCTGCAGGGGAACATTAGTGAATCTGTTTCTCCACCTTCACACCCAGGGGCCTCTTACCCCCAACACAACCAACTTGCATTCTTAGTACATAAAGACAGGTGGGCAGTTTACCGGGAGGTGTATGTGGGCCCTGGAACTCTTCAGAGCTTTCCAGTGTGTTCTATATCTGCTAGCAAAGGGGCCCTCTGACCAATAAACACAGACAGTAAAACGTGGAGAAGGCAATGAAAGAAGTCAGCACCTCTAAATCAATTTATGGTGCACGCAAAGCATGTTTTCAAATATTTACAGAGTCTCCGAGGGAATTACATCACTGTTTCTAACTGTTTTGATTGTTTTTTATGACTCAGGCCTAGTAGAGCGAAGCGATGTAATTCCTGAGAGGCCCTAAGCACACGCTTCCAGCCTCCCCAGAGGAAAGACGGGCATAATGGGAAAAGCGCTCCCCATAATAAACCAAGCGCCGGCAGCATAGTGGGGAATTACCAGTGTGCTTCTGAACGGCAGTTGGRTCTCTACTGAAGAATGCTCTTTCTTCAGTTTGCAAATCACGGGGGGTGAGAGGGCCAGGCTTTGTGGAGATGTGAACTGTGGCGACCCAGAATAGTTGGGATGGCTCAGCCTGATACAAGAACAGCCTGTGGACCCAAACTCTGTGTCTGCTTTGTGTGTCAGATAATTCTAGTTGAAGGTGMCTCTTGAGTGATGGGTTCTTTGTGCTTGTCCTCAGATTTGGTCCCATGTGGCAAAGCTGCCCAAGTTTGTAAAGAAAACCATCATCTGGTTCAGGGACAGGAGGAGATGTCCTGCAGTCTTTATGTAGGACATCTGGGAACAGACCCGCTCCAGAGACTTCAGTCTCTTGAGGGCGGGAGTCTACATGAGCATCTGGGCAAGGTGACATGGAGGACTGGAGACTCAGATCCCAGCCCTACCTCTCATTAGCCAGGTGATCTTCATTACAGCCCTGAATTTCTCTCTGGGTGAAATGGGTTAATCCTGTACATTTTCATACTGGTGCCTGGAGCAGGTTAACTCAGGAAATCTCTGCTGCTGTTGTTATTCAGCATTGTGACTTCTATTTTCAAGACAGTTTGTGAAACAAAGTAGTGGGGTGTTAATGCCTTGAAGACCTCAGGCCATTGAGAAAGTAAGTTGGCCACATGCTACTTAGAAGCTGCCTCCTGGGCACTAAATCTAGGACACACACACCCCACCACCACCACCACCCCCGCCCCCGCTAGATACATTGGCTCAAATCTGCACAGGAACTCATTCTCTAAATCTCTATAAACAACTTCCAGAACTAAGAAGTCTTTCTGGGCAAGTAATATAACACAGGGTGACACATCCTAGAGGGAGACCTAGGTTGCTCCCTCAGGGCCCCAGAATCAGAGGCCTCACCAGGAAGGAGCAAGCTTGTCCACTTGAGTCCATGGCCCTTCATATACCTGGCATTAAAGACCCAGATACCAGGTTCTGAGCCTTTCTCTCCTCCCTAGGAGCATCCCTGTGGTGCAGGTACTACGGACCACTGCCTTGACCAATGCCTGCGCTGACCACTCAGACCAGCGAGTGATCTACCTAGAACATGTGGTAGTCCGCATCTCCATCTCACACCCCCGCCGCGGAGACCTCCAGATCAACCTGATTTCTCCCTCAGGAACCAAATCTCAACTTTTGGCCAAGAGGTAAGGCTGGGCTCGCTGGGATATGTGCCATATGCAGGCCTCTCCAGTTTAGGCCCACAGTGTGCCTAGGGATCCTGCACATGGGGATCTTACTAGGTCTGCTGGAAGCCTCCTTCCTATTGGAGACTCCCACAGACCTGAAAAGTAGTTCTCTGAAAGCTTGCCTTTAAAACAGTCCTGGAAAACTTTGTTTGAGGGAAAAATTAACAAAGGCATTGTTGCTGTTTTGTTATATAGGGGGAGGTTGATGGAGTTCCCGCTGTGCTTTCTTTGCTCTTAGAAGAGCATTGAAGGTCAAGTGCAGCCTATTCAGCTGGCATTTGAAACAAGAGTGTATGACCCCAAGCAGCATCATTGGTTTCCTGGAGTGATTCCTACCCCATGATAGGCTGCTCCTTAAACTTGCATGGCAGGTGCTCTGACCCTCAGGCTTGCGTGGGATATGGGAAAGTTGCTTCCAGGCTCTCTCTACAGCCTTCTCCCCTAAATGCCAGTGCTTTAACACAGACTCCAAATTCTTTTTTTTTTTTTTAATTCTTTTTTTATTAATTTATTTTTTTTATATTTATTTTTTAGTATTTGGCGGACACAACATCTTTGTCTATATGTGGTGCTGAGGATCGAACCCCGGCCGCACGCATACCAGGCGAGCGCGCTACCTCTTGAGCCACATCCCCAGCCCCAGACTCCAAATTCTTGAAGTTTCTTGTGTTATTGTGGAAGAGTATGGAGTCATTTATTTTCTTTTTTTTAATTAAATATTTTTTTTGGTTGTAAATGAACACAATACCTCTATTATATTTATTTATTTTTATGTGGTGCTGAGGATCGAACCCCGGCCGCACGCATACCAGGCGAGCGCGCTACCTCTTGAGCCACATCCCCAGCCCCAGACTCCAAATTCTTGAAGTTTCTTGTGTTATTGTGGAAGAGTATGGAGTCATTTATTTTCTTTTTTTTAATTAAATATTTTTTTTGGTTGTAAATGAACACAATACCTCTATTATATTTATTTATTTTTATGTGGTGCTGAGGATCGAAACTAGTGCCTCACACATTCGAGGCAAGCGTTCTACCACTGAGCCATTACCCCAGCCCCTGGAGTCATTTCTTCAACAAACTTAGAAAATCAGGACAAGTGCTCAGTGCAGTTCTATGACTTGCAGGTAATTAGAGTGGAAGAATTTACAGGGAGTTGGGGGGACTGGGAGAGAATGGGGATACCTTGTTTGTCTCTTTATAGTTAAGAGACAGACAGAGGGAAAAGCAGGCTTCATGTACAAATCAACATTTCCAAGTTCTATTAAAAATGAGAGGTGGTAACTGTGCCTCCCAGCCCAGGAGGAAGCACCTGTCACCAGGTTGCCCTATCCACAGTATCCATGTGACTCATTTGGGTTACCTGTCTGGGGCTGCAGCCCTTTTCTGGGCTTTGGAGATTCAGAAACAGGAGGTATGAAGTGAAAGTTCTCAGACCAGGCCAGACAGAAGTCACCCTTTCTCTTATCTGCTTCTGCCCATGCCCCTTGCATAAGAAGAGGGAGTCTAAATTACACCCTATACCCTCTGCTCAGCTTCCAGGTCCAGCAGCCCATAGAGTGGGCACAAACAGCAGGCAGTGGGCCACATACCAGCTTTGTCCTGAATACCCTGAGATCAGAACCTGGCTTTATGGGTTCCAAGAGCTTAATCACCATGCCCAATCCCTACCAGGTCCCACTTTCCTAATAGAGCAGGAGCGTGGAAGCATCTCCTGCTCCTAAAGGTGGGTCTGGCCATACTCTGCCTCTGCCTGTGGGAGGCCAGCATGGGTGTGAGCAGTTTGGGGGTGCCAGCCAGCAAGCTGAAGCTTCCTGCCTCTTTGCTTCCAGAATATTCATTGTTGTTATTTAATTTTAAGAAATTTCATCTTAAAGCCCACATTTCTAGAGTTTCTTAAAAAGTTGCAAGTTCTCCAACCAGGCCCATGTCTCGTGTGCATCCTGATCTAGAATTGAGCAAAGAGGCAAGTCTGCTTCTGTGCACCCCCTGCTCCCTGCTCCTTGGTAGAGCCCCACTTCCATTCACTCTTGGGTGCATTTACACCTGGAGGCATCCGAGTTTGTGATCCCTGATTCAAAAGCACAGCTGAGTTCCTGTGCAGGTCATGGCCAGAGAGCCCAAAGTGAAGCTTAGAGGTAAAGGGCAGCACATGGCAGGCAGACAAGGCAGCAGTGACCAGAGGACATTGCTTTGGAATCTGGAGACTTGAGCTTATGCTCCAGTCCCTTCATTTTCCAACTGGGTTCCCAAGAGCTGGTCATTTAACCCGTCTTTATTCCTTATCTCTGGAAATGTCATTTCACTTACCTATAAACATTGAGAATATTACAAGAAAAAAATTGAATATTACAAGAATCAAATGTGATAATACAGATAAAAATGTTCAGCACAGGTGCCTGGCTGCCCTTCATGTCCTGCTGAAGTCCATCTGGCCATCTGACCCTCAAGAACCTTCCAGCACCCCAGCATCACCCCACTTGGGCTCTATTTTCCTTCTCTTCTGCATCTCTGGCCCAGTGTTAAGCCCCTTGGGATGGCACAGAGCACATTCTGCTGGTGTATGTGGATCTGCTTGATTGCTGGGTACTGTTTTTTGTACCTGTGCCACAGAGCACTTTAAAAACTGCCCTGAGGCCACTTGGCAGTCACCTGAGTCTTGAAAATTTGTTCCCCCCCACAAGATAGATTTTGTGGTTATATCAAGATTCTGGTTTTAGGATCTATTACCTTCTACTTTATTCCACATCTTACTTAATTTGGCAGCCTTTTCAGGTTGCCAAATTTTTTCACTAAGAATAGGTTGATGTTTGTAAGGACTTCAGCACTTAAAAGACAGTTTGTCCTTGTTCCAGCCACAGTGTGTCGGGTTCCACTTGGCTTTGTGTTTGAAAATCAGCCTCGACCTTGGCAGTTTCTTTGCAGAAAGCACAGAATATCCCCACACCACCCCCGCACTATTCTCCCTGCAAATAATGTTGCCTTGATGAACGTCTTTGTTCTCCAGCGTTCAGAGAGCCCTTAAATTGGAGATGGATTCTTACATCACAGGAAACATACGTATGTAAATTTCTAATAAATAATAAAGAACCCTACTTTAAAAAAAATTCTTATTCCAAAATAAAAATAGAAAATTAGACTATGAAGAAAGAGGAAGAGAGACGATTTCAGCATTTTTCCTTTGAAGACAAAAGACTGAGGAGGACTCTCAAGCTTGGTAGAGAGAGGGTGTTGACTAATTGTGTCCTGTTTCTACTTGAACAGAACATGAGAAATGGATAGAGGGAGCTAGGGTTGTAGCTCAGTGGTAAAGCATTTGCCTAGCACCAGTGAGGCCTTGGGTTTGATCCCCAGCACCGCATAAAATAAATAAATAAATAGATAGATAGATTGATAGATAGATAAATAGATAGATAGATAGATAGATAAATAAATAAATAAAACAAAAGTATTTAGGAAGGAAGGAAGGAATAAAGCAAAGGATGGAGGCAGAAGGTCCAGAGGCTGGTGAGAACAGTCAAAGACCTTCCACTCTGGAAGACAAAAAGAGGCTAATCAGTACCTCCAAGAGGGCTTCACTGGGGTAGATGCAGGGGAGCCTTCTCCTCCTCCTCCAGCCTAGGAGTGCCTCCCACTGGCCCTGGAACACAACCAGGTCTGTCATCATTGTCATCTTCAAATGCAGCTGTTCAAACTGGTCCATCCCTGGAGGTTCAGGGGCATCACTTTTCCCACAAGTTTGAGTAATTGTTCATTTTTTCTAATTTGTAAGAATAGTGCACAGAGCTATCTCTAAGACAAACATGGACATTGCATTCATCCAACAAATACTCATTTTCGAAAGCCTTCCTCTGTGAATACCCTTTGGGGGCTTACATGGGTCCTGTGGCCCAGCCTCTGTCTACTTTTGTGCATCCAAGCTCTGGGGTCATGGGTTCTGTGAGATCAGTCCTGGGGTGGGAAGGGAACAAATACCTTATTCAGGAAAGTGGCACTGGGGACATTGGTCAGTGACCTGTTGGTGGTATAAAGAACATGGAGGAGTCATGATGCCCCTTTCCCACATGGAGTCCCAGCTCAGCTAGTTACTGGTGGTTGGGCTGCAACCAACTAGCAGCCTGGGATCTCTCCTCCATAAATTGGGATGGGAGGCACTGGGCATGGTGGCATACACACCTATAATCCCAGCAATTTAGGAGGCTGAGGCAGGAGTATCGTAAGTTTGAGGCCAGCATCAGCAATTTAGCAAGACCTATCTCAAAATAAAAAATCTAGCTAATAGATCTGGCTGTAGATGGTAGATTACCCCTGAGTTCAGTCTCTAGTAACCCCCCCCCMAAAAATTAGGATGAGTGGGAAGAGACCACACAGAGTGATTCCCCTTCTTTTATTGGGCATGTGAGGCCAACCTGCCACTCTGAATGTTAAAACAGTTTGGGGAGATAGTGGAGGTGAGACTCAGCTAGGAGATTTTGAGAATAATCAACATTTGAAAACGGCATGCTTCCCTTTCCCCTCATCTCACCTCCCTGGTCTAGGGGTGTGCTTCAGCAGGTCTGTAAGGGATCCCAAGGAATAATTCCTCTGGTGCACAGAACCCTCCTTGAGCTGGTCCCTTTGCCCAGCCACCCCAGATCAGGGCCTTCTCRTTTTCTAACACTGCATTTCCAACTGCAGGTTGCTGGATTTTTCCAATGAAGGCTTCACAAACTGGGAATTCATGACTGTCCACTGTTGGGGAGAAAAGGCAGAAGGGGAATGGACCTTGGAAATTCAAGACATGCCATCCCAGATCCGCAACACAGAGAAACAAGGTCAGTGACTCTGGGGCATTTCATTTTAACTTTTATATTTCGACCTTTTTAACTCTAGGCCTTTATTTAACTATAGTGTCTCTGCTAACTTTTTGTTTTGAGGAGGCAAAATTCATGGAACCTAAAATTTGCCATCTTAATGATTTCAAAGTATACAGTTCAGTGGCTTTTGGTATACTCACAATGTTGTATAACCATCATCCTATCTGATTCCAGAATATTTTCATCCCCCCAAAGCAAAACCCCATACCCATTAGGGAATCAATCAGTCTCTAGTCCCTCCTCCCCTCCCAGCCCCTGAAAGTTTCTAATGTACTTTCTGTCTCTGTGAATTTGTCTATTCTGAACATTTTATATAAATGGAATAACATAATATGTGGCTTTTGAGTCTGGCTTCTTAACGTGTTTTCAAGGTTTGTCCTTGGTGTATTATGCATTGGAACTTTATTATTTGCGGCCAAACAATATTTCACTGCATGCATATTCCATTCATTGTTTACCATTCACCCATTGATGTTTGGGTCATTTCTACCTTTTAGTTATTGGAAATAGTGCTCGTTTGAACATTTGTGTGCAAATTTGGGGGTGGACATGTTTTCGTTTCTCTTATTTTCGTTTTTCATATAACCTACCAATTCTATTCTCTTGGAATAGAATTGGTAGGTTATATGGTAACTCTAAGTTTAATTTATGTATTTTGTGTGTTGCTGGGAATCAAACCCAGGACCGCACCAGTGCTAGGCAAGCATTCTAACGCTCAAGTACCTCTCCAGCCCTATGTTTAACTTTTTCAGGAGCAGCCAAACTATTTGCCACAGTGGCTACGCCAATTTACATTCCACCAGTGATGTGTGAGAGGTCTGGTTTCTCCACATCCTCCCTAACACTTGTTATTTACCTTTTTTTATAGCCATTCTACTGGGTGTGGAGTGGTATCTGTGGTTTTGATTTGCATTTCCCTGATGACTAATGCCGTTGAGCATCTTTTCATGTTCTTGTTGCTCATTTGTGTATCTTCTTTGGAGAGAGATTTATTCAAGTCTTCTGATCCTTTTTAAAATTGGATTGTTTTGTTGTTGTTGTTGAGTTGTAAGAGTTTTTATCAGATAAATGATTTGCAAATATTTTTTCCATTTTTTAATAGAGAGAGGGGAGAGAAAAGAGAGAGAGAGAGAGAGAGAGAGAGAGAGAGAGAGAAGAGAAAGAGAGGATTTTTTAGTATTTATTTTTCAGTTTTCGGTGGACACAACGTCTTTATTTATTTTTCTGTGTTGCTGAGGATCGAACCCAGCGCCCCGCGCATGCCAGGCAAGCGCGCTATCGCTTGAGCCACATCCCCAGCCCATTTTTCCCATTTTTTAGGTTCTTTTCACTTGGGTGATAATGGCCTTTGTAGCACAAAGTTTTTTAATGCTGATGAAGTCCACTTTGTTTTTTATGGTTGTCATTTATGCTGTTGGTGTCATATTTAATAAATCATTGCCTAACCCAAGATCACAAAGATTTACTTCTATATGCTTTTTTTTTTTCTTCCCAGTACTGAGGATTGAATTCAGAGGTGCTGTATCACTGAACTACCTCCCAAACCCTTTTTAAATTTTATTTTGAGATAGAATATAGCTAATTTATTGAATTTGCCATCCTCCTGCCTCAGCCTCCCAAGTCCCTGGGCTTACTGGCTTGCACCACCTTGCAGTACTCATGTTTCCTTTCAATGGTTTTAGCGCTTATATTTAGGTCTTTGATTCATTTTGAATTAATTATTATATATGATATGAGGTAAGGATCCAAATTCATTCTTTTGCATAGAGTTGTCCGGTCATCCAAGCATTATTTGTTGAAAGAACTCTTCTTTCCCCATTGTTTGAACTTGGCACTCTTGTCAAAGTCATTTGGTCAGAGGTATAAGGAATTTCATTCTGGACTCTCTGTTTTGTTGATCTATGCATCTGTCTTTATGCATACCAAATGTGAGTCTTTTATAACTTTGTTCAGCTATACATACATATGTTGAGGGGTACCGGGGATTGAATGCAGGGCCTCACATGAGGCAAGTACTCTACCAATGAGCTACATCTACAGCTCAATATTATTTTTTGGTAGGTTTTAGTATACAAGCTTTTTTAATGCCTTTGTTAAACTTATTCCTAAGTATTTTATTTTATTTTATTTGGTGCTATTGTAAATGGAATAGTTTTCTTAATTTTGGTTGGTACCCTTTCATAAATCCTTGTGGGAAGCCATTCTCGCACGTGATTGGGCACCTCCCTGATTTGGGTGTGAGGCGTTCTGGCTAAACTGTGTCGGAAAAAATCCCCACCCTTTCTAGGTGTGAGAGCCCATCCGTGTGGGGGTGTGACTGACCATTGACCCTGAGACCAATCACTGACCCTGACCTTGGAATGCTGTCCCCCTCGACCTTCATTGGATGGAATTGTCCCCTGAATTTCTTTTTCCCCAATAAAAGGCCACTCTCTGGCGCGCCCTGCCTCTCTCTCTCCTGCTAGTCTGTGTAAACCTCGCTGCCCCACCGGGTGGCTCGAGGCAGAAGCCAGAGGGGAGAGCCGCCTCAGACCTGGTCAAAGAAAAAGGTAAATTGAGTTTTGTGTGTTTATTTTGATCTCACTAGTTAACTTCTATGCTACGAAACTCTAGTATGAAGCTAGTGTGCGGGTCGCAAGGTTGAAATCCTTTCAGTTGATAAATAACTACTACTTAACCAGTCTTTATTGAATGCCTATGAAGACCCAAACACAGATCTAGGTGATGGGGGAATAGTCAGGAAAGAAAACCAGAATAATCATCATATCTTACTCAGAGTCATTTACAAAGGGCAGTAAATAAGCTCCTCCTGCAGCTCTTGTGGATTCAGTGAAGTGCGTGGACTGTGCTGGAGTCTTGCTTTCCTATGGAGGACTTTTCCCAAGACTTGCTTTCACTGTTCTCTCCTTCTTTGTGCCCTACTGTGAGGACTATCCCATTTCTTGATCACTCGTGGGTACTTTAAGAGCCTTCTCCTATCCTGGTTCTTTACCAGTTTTCTGTAGCACATAGCTTCAAGGGTTTGTTTTTGGGAGTTTTTTTTTTTTYCCCCCCGGTTGATTTTTGTTGTTGTTGTTTTGTTTTATTTTGTTTGTTTGTTTAACTAGGAAGGGGGAAAAAAAGAACAATGTCTTGCTTTCTGCAGAAAAGTTAACTTTAAATGATCAAGTTATCTGTAGGAATTTTTCTCTCTCCCCAAATCACTTACTTTCTGGTTTAAAAAAAAAAAAACTATTTTAAGAAAATATTACTTCCAGCCTCCCTCTAGCTGCCATCCTACGTCCCCACGTGTGTGCGCCTAATCTCTCAAAACTAAAATTTTGGTCTACCTGAGACCCTCTGAGCGCCAACCCTAGTCCCCCCACGCAGCCCCATTTCCGCTCCAACAAGATGAAAGAAACTATCATGAACCAGGAAAAACTCGCCAAACTGCAGGCACAAGTGCGCATTGGTGGGGAAGGAACTACTCGCAGAAAGAAGGTGGTTCATAGAACAGCTACAGCAGATGATAAAAGACTTCAGTTCTCCTTAAAGAACTTAGGGGTAAACAATGTCTCTGGTATTGAAGAGTTGAATATGTTTACAAACCAAGGAACAGTGATCCACTTTAACAACCCTGAAGTTCAGGCGTCTCTGGCCGCAAATACTTTCACCATTACAGGCCATGCTGGGACAAAGCAACTACAGAAATGCTACCCAGCATCTTAAACCAACTTGGTGCAGACCTTCTGACTAGTTGAAGAAGACTGGCTGAGCTCTGCTCAAACAGTCTGGATGGAAAAGCATCACTTACTGCTGAAGAGGATGATGATGATGAAGTTCCAGATCTTGTGGAAAATTTTGTTGAGGCTTCTAAGAATGAGACAAACTAAACTGATCAACTTCTGAAGAAGAAAAACTTGAAGAACCTACTGGGAGCTGCTATTTTATATTATGACAGCTTTTTAAAATTTTTTGTTTATGATCTGATAAAATCTAGATCTCTAATATTTTTAAGCCCAAGCCTCTTGGACACGGCAGCTCTTTTTGGTTCTTGCTTATACACAATTTATTCTTTCAGCTAATGAAAATGCTGAAGAAGCCTGGAAATAAAGTTTGAAGCAAAGTTGAATAAAGTTCTTTGCCTAGTAAAAAATAAGTAAATAAATAGTACTCTAACAAAYTCTAAAAATATRAAAACCTAAAACTTTAWGTGACCTGAAGTTTACATGTCAAAAATGTAAACTCCTAAATTTTTCTTTTTAAAGTCCCAAAGTTTATCGGCCTAGTATGAACAATCAAGGGTCAACTTCCCACGCCAGCTGCGCCCTCCAGCAGTCATTGCTCTGGGCACTATGAGCATTCCTGTACTAGCCCAACCTGCCTGCTTGCCTGGGAGCCTGGTGACTCTTCTCTTCATTACTATGGACCTGTGATGTTCACTTGTACCATGAGCAGAATGCAACAAGCCCTACCTGTGTCCTAAGGCATCATCCTTCCTTCTCCTGCCCRTTAGGCTCACACCCATGCTGTGGAGCCTTCTTTGGCTCTGCATCCCCTGTAGCCACTGCCTACTTCTCTGCAGTGAAGTGGCCTGCTATGGCTGTCCACTGCTCACTCCCAGCCCACTTCTGACCACATCAACAAAAAACTGGGGCTTCTTAGGGTCCCACAGGGTCTCCATGTRTCCAAGCCAATGTCCCTATCTCTGTCCTCAGCAGGCTGTTAAAGCCAGAGCCTGTGTCTCTAACAGGCTCCATACTCTCTCTGGAGACCACATGGTACTATGGGTTTTGAAGCCAAACTCTTACTAATACTGCGACCATGGACAAATCAGTTAGCCTCTCCGGGCCTCTGTCTCCTCATTTAGAAAATGGGCTGCTGATGTCCACATCATTCAGTTGTTATAGGATCAAATCAGTCAATGAAGGCAGGGTGCCAAACACAGAGCCCAACACACAACAACACTCAGCAGCTCA